ACCAATCCAGTGGAATTATTTGAGGCTGTCACTAAGCATGTGGACAAAGAACCCAGTGGATACAGTGTACTTATTTCCAGAAAGCCCTTGACAAGGTTCCTCCCCAAAGGCTCTTAAGCAAAGTAAGTTATCATGGGATAAGAGGGAAGGCCCTTTATGGATTGATAACTGGTTAAAAGACAGGAAACAAAGGGTAGGAATTAATTGTCAATTTTCAGAATGCAGAGCGGTAACTAGAGGTATGTCCCAGGGTTCATTCCGGGACCAATCCAATTTGGCATATTCATAAATGATCTGGAGAAAGGGGTAACAGTAAGGTGGCAAAATTTGCAAATGATTAAAAAAATGCTCAAGATAGTTAAGACCAAAGCAGACTGTGAAGAGCTTCAAAAGGATCTCACAAACTAGGTGACTAGGCAACAAAATAGATGAAATTTAATGTTGATAAATGCAAAGTAATGCATATTAGAAAACATAAACCCAATTATATGTATAAAATGATGGGGACTAAATTAGTTCTTACCACCTGAGGGAGAGAACTTGGAGCCATTGTAGATAGTTTTCTGAAAACATCCACTCATTGTACAGTAACGTTCCACAAAGCAAAACGAATGTTCAGAATTATTAAGAAGGGGATAGAGAATAAGACCAAGAATATCTTATTTACCCTATCTAATAAATTCATGGAATGTCCATATCTTTAATACTGCATGCAGATGTTGTCACCTTATCTCAAAAAAGATATCCTGGCATTGGAAAAAGTTCAGAAAGGGACAACAAAAATGGTTAGGGGTATGTAATGGCTGCCATATGAGGAGAGATTAAGAAGTCCAGGACTTTTCAGTTGGAAAAGAGACAACTAAAGGGGGAAGATCTTGGATTGCACTTAAATTCAAAAAGTGATCTCATGCGTGAAAAGGTTGGAGACCACTGTCCTACACATGGCTCAGGGTCACAGTCCTACATATCAAGAATTTTCCAACTCCAAAATGATTTTCCGCTGATTGGTAGCAATCCACTGTGGCAGGATTCTGGAGTGTGATCATCACCCAGTCTTATTTACTGTCCATGCAATTCCCATTCTGATGTACCTGTGGGGGAGGACAGACAAGCTTGGCAATTGTGTGGAAATGTGGTGTTTTGCATCTGAAAGTTCTTCAGGCACACCTTGGCATCCCAAATCTGAATCACAATGCAATCCCACCTAGTCAGTGCTTAATTTTTGGACCTACACCAGTGTTCCATCATCTGCATTTGTTCTGTGAATGCTAACAACCATCTTGAATTGTTTTTTTTCACTATGTCCTCAATAAATTCTCCTTGAAGAAATTGTCCCTCATTGTTCCAGTATTTCCCATGGGGCTGTAGCTTTGGGCTAAAATCTGCACCTATTTTTGCTATGTTCATGAGAACAGTGCAGAATTCTGCAAGCTCCATACATCTGTCACAGATGGTGACAACGTAGAGGGGAATTTAAAAACAAAGCCATTGAAATTATGGGATAAGGATGGCATTATGGAAGGGAGAAAGTTGCATGCAGGCTCTGAGATCGCTGGGTGACCCATTTCTGTCCCATAACACTGTGCCAAAAATCCCAAAAAGTGTTGTACTAAATGGCTGCTTGTGGTCCACTGGGATAATTATCCCTGATGTATTGCATTGTGAATTGACACAAGCAGACCTGGTGAATATGCATAATGCTGACGCCTGCAGCCAAGTGATACATAGACTACAGTAGCTGTATGTGAACACAACTTGCATTGACTCAGGTTTGTAATGTAGACATTGCCATGGTTTAATTGAAACTTTTAAACTTATAGTGTGTGAGTGGTTGAGACTTGGGCAAAATGAGTTTATGCATTTCTGTTAAGTAGTTGTGTGTGCTCCCTCAGTCAGTGGAAATTCCCCTATTGAAGGGGAATTTCAATAGGGTAACATTTGCAAACCTAAATCTCTTTATTTTAGTGGGTAAGATTTTAGCTAAATAAGCTTTCTGAATAGTGATGCAGACTGTTAGATGAAGCCCTATATACTGAGTTAGCATTGTGCTCTCCAGTTAAACTGACCAGAGGAAACTGAGGTATACTCCTGGGCTACGTCTACACTGGCCCCTTTTCCGAAAGGGGCATGCTAATTTTAAACTTCGTAATAGGGAAATCCGCGGGGGATTTAAATATCCCCCGCGGGATTTAAATAAAGATGTCCACCGCTTTTTTCCGGCTTGTAGAAAAGCCGGAAAAGAGCGTCTAGACTGGCCCGATCCTCCGGAATAAAGCCCTTTTCCGGAGGATCTCTTATTCCTACTTTATTCCGGAGGATCAGGCCGGATCGGGCCAGTCTAGACGCTCTTTTCCGGCTTTTCTACAAGCTGGAAAAAAGTGGCGGACATCTTTATTTAAATCCCGCGGGGGATATTTAAATCCCCCGCGGATTTCCCTATTACGAAGTTTAAAATTAGCATGCCCCTTTCGGAAAAGGGGCCAGTGTAGACGTAGCCCTGCTGTGTTGACCGTATAGTAATTAGCAATGGTAATTAAAATCAATTGTGCATCCATGTAAATTGACATAGTACTTTACACATACAGAATGAGACCTATTCCCTTCCCCTAAAAGAAGGGCTTGTAAGTTTAGTATCTTTAGTAGGCTTGAAGGCAGAGAAGCTTGTTGATGCTTTTACAATTAAAAATTCAGGCATTGCCTATTCTTGAAGACTGTGGATGGCTTGAGAATAATTATAGTTATGAAACTTGTGATGTCAAGGAAACAAAACTATTCAGATTGTTATAATCTTGGTGCTTGTATGTTTTTATTATCTATTTAAAACAGTTTGGAGTACAGCTCAGCTTTTTTGGTTATGAATTAAACACTTCACTTCCTCAGTTAAATGGATTTACACTCTATTAGCCTGTATCTTACTGCAGCTTTTCAATTATGTTTAACCAGTATGATTGAAAAACAAACCTTTCTGCATGTCAAGACATGAATGTGTTTGAGTTACATAAATGCTCCACAAAAAAAGGGAATCTGAATTTTCTGGTATTTTCTAAGGGCACGTCTTCACTCTCCACACCGAAGATCTACATTCTGGTGTTTGATTGAGCAGGTCTAGTATAGACCTGCAAATCGAATGTTGAGGGCAGCTCCAGTAGGCATCAGTAAACCTCATAGTACCATGGAGTGAGGGAAGCCTCCCCCAGTGGTGATGGCGCTAAGCCCTGCTTAAGGTAAGCCGACTCCAGCTACATATTTTACATATTTTACATAGCTGGAGTTGTGTACCTTAAGCCAACCTTCCAGGTCTAGTGTAGACCTGGCCTAAGAGAAAAACTCAAACAAGTAAAAATTTCCTTTCTGTTTTCAGGCTATTTTTGTACACCAAAAAAGCAAAATTGATCACAAACCCATTTTTTATTTCCCTTCACCTCATGGGGGACACATGCAAAAAAAAAGAAATGAGGGGAGGAAACTCTGTGTGATCCTGAGTGACAGTGGTGGCCTGTGGCCGGGAGCTCTGGGCCTGTATGTAAGGTGTGTATACTACAGCAGTGATGGGCAACCAAGAAGAGTGAGTGGGCTACATGAGTGGCCTTCCTTCATCTCAGGGGGCCACAGCTGCCTGCTGACCCTCTGTCTGTCCTTCTCCCCCATGTGCCTCTCGCGGGCACTGGATCCACACACTTCCTACTTCTCTCCATCCATCTCAGCACTTTTGAAGCACCATGAATTGTCTGATTTGTGCTCCATCCCTGCTCCTCTCTCCTTTTCAGAGCTGGAACAGCCATGAACAGCTGATTTCCAGTGTTACTCTTGTGCCACTGCATGCTTCTTGAGTGACTTTTGGCAAGACAAGTAGCCTCTGTCTGCCAGGGTTTCTCATCTGTATAACGGGGATTATAATGCTGGCCTACCTCATGGGAATTTTACATGAATAAGTACAGGAAATACTGTAAAACTGCGGGGAAATAACATACTGTGATGATGGGTCATGACATGAAAGTATTTTTGATAAATAGCTAGCTGTTGTACCAGGTCAATTCATGAGTAGCTGCTAAGTCTTAGTAGTTGCCTGATGAGGATATCCAGAAGTTATTTTTTGATTGCTTCTAACATTAAAAACCCTTTTACCATACACAAGAAAAGAAGTGGTTCTAGTTCTCAATGAGAAATTAATATGTTTGTGCTACATGTCAAAAATCAATCAATTTACTGATCCTAGGGTACAATTTTTACATGCAAGTCAATGACAAAATTCTTACTGTTTTTGCTATTACCTTTTTTTAAATATATAATCTAGATATTTTTCAAAGCTAGGGGGAAGGGAAAAGGTGTGTAAAGGTGACATCAGGGAATGTGTGTTTACTCTACCTTTCCATAACTTAAAAGGAAAATATTTTGCTGACCTTTAAAACAAAAACAGAACGCCCATCCCTTTGGTCACATCCCAGGTATAAAAGTCTCAACACTGAAAAGGAAGGTTTTGGAAAACTACCAATATGTAAAAACAAAAAATTGTAAGTGAAATTATAGAGCAGCTTGAAACGCAATGTGGTGCAGTGATGGGGTGCACCTGGCATTTGCCGCTTGCTCTCTATGGGTACATCTAGACTACACACTTATTTCAAAAGAGATCGTCTAGACAACCACAACTTTTTTTTGAAAAAGCAATCCACTTTTTCGAAAGAGAGCACCCAGGCAATCTGGATGTTCTCTTTCGAAAAAGCCCTGTTTGCAGTCAAGAACACTTTTTTTGAAAGAGCTCTTTCGAAAAAATGTATTCTTCCTCGTAAAGCGAGGTTTACCACTGTTGAAAAAACTGCCACGTTCTTTTGATTTAATTTCGAAAGAACGCGGCGGCAGTCTAGACACTGATGAAGTTTTTTCGAAAAAACCCTGTAGTTTAGACATAGTCTATAGGAGGCACTGTGATTCTGCTACATTACACTCTAAGAAAAGAGCAGTGAAGACAGAAGGCCTCCTAGAGAGGCCTCCCAGAAGCAGCCAATCAAAACCCAGTATGCTCAGATAAAAGAAGTTGCAGGACTTAGTATGTCAATTCCTGTTTGAGACTAGAAGAGTGAACAAGAGTGTGCTTTTGTAGCCAAAAGACCAAAAAGGGCAGGATTCACTTGGGAGCTGAAACAAAGAGCTGCATTTAAAGAGTCCAGAATCATCTGAAGACCCTAAAGGCAAAGAGACTGTTTTGTTTGCTGGATTCTTTGATGCCCTGGAAGCAGTTCATTTGGATTTTGTGACTTAGTTGAAGAGGCAAGCTATTGAAGACCCCCTCCCAAGGTCAGTTGCTGGGGTAAGAAAGGACTATAGTACCGCACCAAGTCATTCAAAAGGGGAGTGCCCCATTGCATGAGTATACAGGATCCTTCAATTGTTATAGACTGGAGTGAGATTAACAAAGTAACTCTTTGATCTTGATTTTAGTTTATTTACAATCCAAACATTTAAAATTTACTGTCAGTGAACTATCTTTTGAGAAGTGGGTACTGTGTGGTAATAATTAGATTGAACAGTAATAGACACTTTCTGCATAAGTGAGAACATATGTTGTACTCATGATAAAAGCCCTCGAGTATCAGTACAGTATAGGGATATAATATTTGTAAAATTTATCAAGGGGTGCTTTGTTTTTAAAAGAGCAGTAAGCAGTTGGGCCATTCCTAATGCTTAATTAATTCAAAAGAATACAGAAAGATGGCAGAGTAAGGGAAACTCTGGTGTTCACATACAATTGCAAATATGAAATGTTAAAGCAAAATGTTTAAATATCTGAAGTGATTATTAATCAGCTTAGCTCTCACAGACTTCTGCTATAGGCTGTAGCTTATCGCAGAACAGAAAAGCCAAGCATTATGCTTTTTTCAGTAATGATGAACAATGTGTAATTTGATCACTTTCACCATTTGGCAATTTGCCAAGCTTTCAAATTTGGAATAATAATGATTGTGATGACATTTGTCTCACAGTATTAAAAGTACAGGGGTGGGTGGTATTCACTGTTTGACAATAAAACTAATGAAGGCAGGAAACTGAGATACAGTAGATCAACTTCTGTTGCTTGAACTTTGTGAAGAGGGAAAAAAAAACTTTTTTTTTACGGTCACCGATTTTTCATAAAGAAATATTTCAAAGATGAAAATCCTGACTGCAATGATATCAGTGTTAAAACTAGAATTGACTTCAGTGGGGCCAGCATTTAATCAGTGAATATATAAACCATCAATGAATCCAGTAAGCACATAAAAATAGAAAATATTAAGGCTATTGTTAAAAATAATGTAAGTATAAATTCAAACCACAGTAGACAGTATCAAATATTCGTTAGGCACAGAATTAATGAAAACAAGCAAAATGTTTATGTAATTAGATACTGAAATGTGTCACTAGACAATTTCACCGAGATAATTCTTTACATAATTTCAAAAGGATTGCTTGGACTTTTGATAAGCAGAGGAGTATGATAAGCTATCATAAGATTGAATTTAGTACTGTATGTTTAATTAGGGAATTATCTTGTTTAGCTGAGAGTGTTTATGCTTGCTTCACATTTTCACTGAGGCTATGTTTACACTAGAGAGTGTTTACAAAAAAAGGTCATTTTTGTGCAAAAATTCATGGAGTATCCACACTCCAAGTGCGTTTTGTGCAAAAAAATCGGAAGAACGGAGGGGGTTTTGCACAATAGTTATTCCTCTTTCTATGAGGAATAACTCCTTTTTGCTCAAGAGTTCTTGTGCAAAAAAATGTGTGTGGACGGGCAACGGGGTTTTTGCGCAAAACCAGGAAAGAGAAAAAAGAACAGGTGCCTGGTGGCCATTCTGTGGATAGCTATCAACGCTTTCTTTTGAGAAAGCATCCATGCAGTGTGGATGCTCTCTTGCACAAGAAGCCTGTAGTGTAGACATAGCCAGAGTGGACAGGTGGTATGATAATCATAATCATATATAAATTATAAAGGTTACAAATTTATGCACTTGACCTGAGTTGATCATTTTATATTGAATACCTCTTTGGAAATAATTTTAAAAGATAATCTTATGGATAGCAAATGCTTGTGATTACTGTTCTGTCCTTGCAAGCCAAGCTGTTTCAGAATTAACTTACAACTAATGGACCATCAAAGCAACCAAAAATTTGAAATTAGATATTTGCTGCATATGAGATTTGTTTTCTTTAGGAGTATACTATCTTGGGTGTGTGTGTAAGTATTCTTATTCTAAAATACTGAGATACCCACATCTCTCTGCTCTATTTTTCTTTTCTATATATTGATCGCTCCCCCTGCTGATGCATTGAAGCATCATGTACTTGATGGAAATCCTCATGTTCTCTTTCACTGGAAAGCCAGAGGTTGCTTTCTGTGTGCATTCTGAGGCTCCTTTTTCAGTAAAAATGCTTGTTTCCTTCCTCCAGTTTGCTAACAGTACTCAGGGGAAGAAGTCTGAGGTCTCCCTAGCCCCTAGTGATGGTGCTTTTGCAGTGCTTCCAAATGATAACAGCCTTGCACAGGGGTGAGATTGAAAGGCCTTCTGCTTTTGATCTCAGACTTTCTTCCCCCTAAAAAGTAGGATGGATCTTTGGGGAGCATCTCCTGACTGTTCAATGCTCTTACTAGTGATTTTCCTTGCTTGTTCAACTGCCCTAAGGAGCATGCCATCCACTTGCAGGAAATGATGTCAGAGAAGAGAAAATGTGTGTGATATGGAACTCCTGATATTCTCCCCATGGTGGCTTCAAAAAGAGTCTCGGGCCCTTGTGATCAGTACCCAAGATAGACTCTAGTACTTGAATTGACAGTATTTGTATAATCAAACCTTTCCAACAGTGGGATACAATCAAGAACCAGCTCAGTCCCTCTCCTTGCAGTGAAACCTCATTATGTAAACAACCTCATTGATTCAGATGAAGTTTTTTTTTTTAACCTCTTGTTGGTAAGTAGAGTAAGATTTCAGACCCTCCTAAGAGGTCCTGGCTCCACACTCTATCAGCTGGCCCATTGCAAATGGAAAGTATGTGGCAGACCTGACCAGAAATTCCATCCTCTTCAAAAAGATTGGAGACTACCAGTCTAGATGGTGCTTGGTCTTGCCGTAAGGGCAGGGGACTGGACTTTGACCTCTGAAGGTCCCTTCCTGTTCTATTGTTCTATGATTCTAAGACCCTGCACAGGTACACAAGCACAGTTAGCAAAACTACCCTATCCCAGAAGACTGTCTTGATATGACAGTCTTGCATCCAACTAAGATGGAGGGCTACTCATACAGTCCACTTACTACTCTTGGTTGCCCATTGCTAATGTAGAGGCAAAATGAATCAGAGCTAGACGAGACCTCAGGAGGTCATCAAGTCCAGCCCCCTGCCCAAGGCAGAACCAATCCCAACTAAATCAACCCAGCCAGGGCTTTGTCAAGCTGAGTCTTAAAAACCTCCAGGGATGGAGATTCCACCACTTCCCTAGGTAACCCATTCCAGTGCTTCTCCACCCTCCTAGTGAAATAGTTTTTCCTAATATCCAACCTGGACCTCTCCCACCACAACTTGAGACCATTGCGCCTCGTTCTGCCACCATTGCGCCTCGTTCTGCCATCCATCACTACTGTGAATGGCCTTTCTCCATCCTCTTTCGAACCTCCCTTCAGGAAGTTAAAGGCTGCTATCAAATCCCCCCTCACTTTTCTCTTCTGCAGACTAAACAAACCCAAATCCCTTAGTCTCTCCTCATAGGTCATGCGCTCCAGCTTCTTAATAATTTTGGTTGCCCTCTGCTGGACCGCTCTCCCCATCCTTTCTATAGTGGGGGCCCCAGAACTGGACACAATACTCCAGATGTGGCCTCAGCAGAGCCGAATAAAGGGGAATAATCACTTCTCTGAATCTGCTGGCAATGCTCCTCCTAATGCACCCTAATATGCCATTATACTTCTTGGCTACAAGGGCACACTGTTGACTCATATCCAGCTTCTCATCCACTATAATCCTCAGGTCATTTTCTGCAGAACTCCTACTTAGCCATTCGGTCCCCAGCCTGTAACAATGCTTGGGATCTTGTCCGTGTTGAACCTCATCAGATTTCTTTTGGTCCAGTCCTCTAATCTGTCCAGGTCACTCTGGACACTGTTTCTGCCTTCCAGCATATCTACCTCTTCTCCCTTGCTTAGTGTCCTCTGTGAACTTGCTGAGGGTGCAATCCATCCCCTCATCGAGGTCATTAATAAAGATGTTGAACAAAACTGGTCCTAGAACAGATCCTTGGGGCACTCTACTAGAAACTGACCGCCAACCTGACATCGAGCTGGTGATCACTACCCGTTGGGCCCAACAGTCTAGCCAGCTTTCTATCCATCTTACAGTCCATTTATCCAATCCATATTCCCGTAACTTTCTGGCAAGAATATTGTGGGAGACCGTATCAAAAGCTTTGCTAAAGTCAAGGTATATCACATCTACTGACTTTCCCATATTCACAGAGCCAGTTACCTCATCATAGAAGCTAATCAGATTGGTCATGCATGACTTGCCCTTTGTGAATCCATGTTGACTATTCCTGATTGTTTTCACTTCTTCCAAGTGTTTCAAAATGGATTCCTTGGGGATCCCCTCCATCATTTTTTCTGGGGACTGAGGTAAGGCTGACAGGTCTGTAGTTCCCTGGATTGTCCTTCTTCCCTTTTTTAAAGATAGACACTACATTTGCCTTTTTCCAATCATCTGGGATCTCTCCCAATCACCACGAGTTTTCAAAGATAATGGCCAAAGTCTCCACAATGACATTTGCCAACTCTCTCAGTACCCTCAGATGCATTTGTGTATGTTTAGCTTTTCTAAATAGTTCCTAACTTATTTCCCCACCAAGGGCTGTCAACCTCCTTCCCATGCTGCATTGCCTAGTGCATTTGTCTGGGAGCTAACCTTGTCTGTGAAGACAGAGGCAAAGAAAGCATTGAGTTCTTCAGATTTTCCCTCATCATCTGTCACTGGGTTACCTCCCTCATCCAGTAAGGGCCTCACAACCTCTCTTATTGCTAATATGCCTATAGAAACCTTTCTTGTTATCCTTCACATCCCTTGCTAGCTGCAATTCCAATTGCTCTTTCGCTTTCCTGATAACTCCCCTGCATTCTCGAGGAATATATTTATACTCCTCCCTACTCATCCTCCCAAGTTTCTACTTTTTGTAAGCTTCCTTTTTGTGTTTAAGCTCACGAAGGATTTCCCTGGTAAGCCAATCTGGTCATCTACCATATTTGCTTTTCTTGCTGCGCATCGGGATGGTTTCTTCC